AGCGAGAAAAGAACCAGCCCTCTTATCACCAGCAGCAACGACCAGCTGCGGATGGAGTTCCTTTAAGAACTTCACCGCACGTGGACCCCACGGACCGATAGTCTCTACAGCAAATGGCACAAATATGTAGTCATCTCTCAGAGACTCATATTTGCGCCACTTACTCAGTTCAGCTGCCTCTGATGCCGCCCCGGTTCTAAACGAGGTACCCTTGAGATGAGAGGGCGCCAGAGTGTCTACGCAAGTAGCATCCCACACTAGGGTTTTACCTCTCTCCCAAGGGACCAATGTCATACCGTCGGGTCTCCTGCCATCGTCTCTAAATATTCCACAAGGCTCTAAAACCAAGGGAACATTTATAGAGACAAGAGCCTTTCGGATGACATCGTTCAAAGAACTGTGTCGTGAAAACCTACCAGCACTTTTCTTACATGAAAGTCCGTGGAGCCCAAACTTGTCGACGCTGCTACCACAGGGGCACTGATGGGATTGACAAATCGCCGCTCCTAGTCGGATTCCTATGGCAATGTGCAAACTTTCCCCATCAAGTGATGTGCCGAGATTACTTGATGGTAAAGTGTGTAACCAGTGACTAGATTCCTTAGTCGAAACAGAGAGAAGGCGTGCCTTATCTTGGTCACTATAGAAATTATGAAACAAATCTTTCTGCACGGTTTGTACCAACGGAATATCCCACTGTTTTTGTTGGTTAACTTCCAGTGGAACATTTTCACTGGGACAGAGCGTTTGCTATGTCTGCCCTGCCTCCGTAGCAAAGCACAGGTCTACTTTATTATTTAAAATTATTTTTTTTAAATAAAAAAAATACATTTAGCACACTAGGATTTTCTCCTTTATCGTAGTTGCTAAGCCACTACGCCACGGAGCCGTATTTAAAATTATGTTACATAAGTCATTGACACTATGCACAGAAGCAAGGAAAGCAGTCAATGCAACGCTAGAAAGATTTCCCACACCAATACCACCAAATTTTATAGGTAAAGTAGCTTGAGTCCAGGCTGTTGTATTTAAAGTTAAATTTAGAATTTTTTCTATAGCTATTTTAAGATTATTATCAATATCCGAACATTTCCAGACTGGACTCGAGCGGAGTAAGTATGTATATCTAGGTACAAGAAGACAATATTTTAAAATAGTAAGAGTTATGTGGGGGTTTAATTTATACAATTTATCAACGTGGTTTAAAAACTGATCAAATTTTGTTTTTAAAACAGGTTTAATACTATCGAAAAACAATTTTTTTTTAAGCTAACAATACATCTATTTCAAAATCATTGATCGTACTACAAAGTGAAATGATGTCACTTTGCAGTACATTGCGTCTTATACCATATAGGAACGACCACGGCTCATAAAACATACGACGCAATGTACTTCAAAGTGACTATTATAGCTATCATCAAAGAAAGCGTATAGCCCGGTTGATAGTGGTTACTGCAGCGCATGGACACCTGCAACCAACTTCATAAGAGAAAGCTATAGGTGCGTTGTAACTCTTGAGCACTAAGATATAATGCCTTATAGTCTGTAATTATCTTTGCTGTCTTACGCTTTCAAACCGGAATATAGCAGTGGGGCCACTTTAATAATTTATTAGGGGGCGTAACTTATTAATAAAAGCAAATAATGTTATATATATCTAAATCACTAGTTGTTTCGCTTTAAAATATTTTATTGATTGTTTTCTTAACATAACATGTAAATTAAGATTTTAAATATGGCTTAGCGGTGTTTATCTGGAAGTAATTGTGCAATTAGTATAAGACTATATTATACCTTTAGATTTAGTATGTTAAATTGTTACAATTGTAGGTAGACCTTTTTAAATAATTAAATAACTATCTGTTACGGGCCCACGCTTGACACGCTTCCTCTAATTTCCGAGAGGATTTTGGTGCAAAGTCCGCAGCGCTCTTCCGATGCGGCTCACCTTATTAATACTAGAAGATATTTAAAAAACTATGTAACGAATCGTTATAAAAAAATTTGATTAAAATTGTAATACTTAGTAGTTTTAGTAAGTCCACAAACATACCGACTACTGTAAGTGCAGCTACAGTTATGACTAAACTATGATAAGTAAACGGAGTTGGATAAGTTGTCATATTATTATCTTTTTTAGATTACTTTTTTTTTGAAATTTTGAAATAATTTATTTATTTATTACTTTCATAAAACTTTGATAATATATTACAAAATAACTATAATTGTTTTGAAGAAATTTAAATTTTTTAAATAAAAAAAAGTCATGGATTTTAGCGCTTTTTATTATAACTTATGTTTACTTTCTGACGTTTCGAGCGTTTTGGTCACGCGGAGTCAAAATTTATTTTATTCATTTATTTGTGTGTACTGTTAATATATGAAAATTCATCTAAAATTGTACTTCATTACTGGTTTAATTTATTTTATGTATTTAAATATGGACGGTGTTAAAACAACCAATTCGTCAATGAATATATTATTTGAGAGAAGGTAATTATAATTACATCAAAAAAAAAAATCGTTAGTCATTGTTACACATTGGAAAATATTTTCAGAAACAGAAATGGAAACAGAATCTTTTTTATTCAATACAGATTATGAATAATAGGTAGCTCAGATGGTTAGCGATCGCTGTAAATTTTACAGTACGCGAGCAACCCAGATTCGAGCCCCGCCGGCACCAATGAAATTGTTAATTGCAATTTTAAGTGCTGATTTACCACGTGCTCGGCGGTGAAGGAAAACATCGTAAGGAAACCTGCATGTCTGAGAAATAAAAAAAAATATTTTGAAGACATCTGAAGTTCGCCAACACGACCGGCGACCATTTCCTTGCCCTTTTACCCTCTCAGAAATAAGAGGAGGCCTGAGCCCAGCAGTGGGATTGTGGGACGTATATAGGCTGTTAACTTACTTTAACTTTATAAATAATAATTATTGAATGTCACTCTCGTTTAATTTACCACTGGTTCGGAAATAAACCTCTGAACTAGGAAGAACCAGCAGAAAACTAGATAAAAAACAGAGGGACTTTTATTTGGAAAAAAATTTTTTTTTAATGTTTTATTAATCTTTAATCATTAAATACGATCTTCAGGAAACGAAATAACTCATGGGGAATTTTCTTCAGTTCAGGATACTCAGGGCTTGTGGTGAGCTTAAAGCGGGCAAAAGGGACGGTAGATCGTCGTTCCACCCTTGAGGATTTATGTCCTGACAGGAACAAGATGGGTGGCCCGTTGGTGTAAAATATTTAGGTAGTATAGGATTACTCTTGCTTCCACGTTTCGACATTTTAGTAAAAAGATTTATTGTTGTTTAATTCTCAAGGGAAGCGTTATGTAACCCTTAGTGAGTAGGCAGTCGTTATTTGATGTAAACAGTGATCGCGTTTTCATATATTTCTATGTGTAGGGTATTAAGGTGGTAGAGACATGATGCAGCTATGTTATAGTCTTAGCACGAATGGGTCAGCTCGAACGGGGAAGGGCCACGCTCACACCGAATACCAGCCTAAAATAGCAGCTTTTGTTTTTTTGCTTAGTGCTGTCTTGTTGAGAACGTGGTAAAGTAGACGGGCGATCGTTTGCCCGTCTATCCGAGCATGACAATAAATCCACTAATTTTTCTGCCACCAGGGCGGCTCCACTAGAAAGTTAGGTATAATATTTGACAGATTTCATAGCAGGAAAGTTAATTTGTTCGGAAATTGTAAAAGTTATTGTTTCTTTTTGTACTATTAGCTATATTTTATATTAATAACATTAAAAATAAATAAACCAAACCACAGATATTCATAAAGGTAGAAAAATTTAAAAAAAATGTTAAAAATGTGCTAAAAATTAAAGAACAAACCACTGACTAACTGATAAACCCTTATTAAAAAACAAGTTCTCAATTAAATTACATTGTGTAACAAAAAACTTTACCTCAGTGTCAACTAGCGACATCTGGTGAGCAGAACATTATTAGCACTCATTATCGTAAAACTAAGGTGTGACCTTTTTGCAGAAGACTTTTTAACGTGGTAGAGCCTACTCTGCAGCTATATTATGGTTGCAGCACGGATGGTTCGGCTCGACCTGGGAAGTCCGATACTCTCACAGAATACCAGCGTTAAATAGTAGCTTAAGGCTGCTGTGTTCCGTATGGTGAGTGTAGAGAACCAAAGCAGTTGTAGAGAAAAAAAAGGGACTCTCCTTTTCAAAAAATTTAAAAAATCTCTTTGCTGGTCAGTTTTGATTGTCTTGACTACACCTGCAAAATGAAATAAAACCACTCACCGATTATTCGACTGATAGAAAATATTATACAAAATCGCTTAACTAATTTCGGAGATAACTTCATTTTTTGAAGTCGGTGTACAATATGAGCAGTTAAATAGAAGGAGGTACATTGTAAAGACATATGTAATCTTTACAATGTACCTCCTTTCATTTGTGAGAGGGGCTTGGAGTAGAGAAGAATCTATTGCGCGTCTGCTTGTTAGCGACATTCACATCGACCTAAAGTATTTTTTAATTTCTCAGAAATTTCATCCTTATGTTTTTCCTTAGCTGCCAATTCCATGTTAAATCAGTGCGTTTAGTTTAGAATTTAATTTTTACCGTCACCAATTGAACTCAATTTTAAAATGAACACCTATGAAATGAGCTAAGACGATTCTCATATTTGTAACATTGGGAAAGCAGCTTATTACTTAAACATTTTCAATAAATTTAGAATAGCTTAATTTCATGAGAAATATTAGTTAATACTACTGCGCAACTCGTTGGTAACGTTTACTAGTAAAGTAATGCGTTGTAATTAGTACCGACAGAGCGATAAAAGCAGCAATATGATAAATTAATGATCACTGCCTCGACTGTCTGTCTTTGATATCAAACGTTTTGATTGACGATATAAAAAACTCGCGAACCATGAAAGATGTATGTTTATAAGACTAATAGTAAACTAACTAACTAATAGTAAAACTAATATACGTTATGTTCTAGAAAGCCACGAATTGGATCAAGGAAGCTGCACAAGAATGAAGACATGCAGAAACTTGGCCAGGGACACAGCACGTAAAAGGGTGCAACAAAGCAGTCACAGTTGGTGGACTAAATTGATTTTTGCAAGCTTTACATTAGCTGTCGCTGAATCCCAAGGTATTCCATTCTTCTATAACATTTTTTTTACTTTCCTATTAACTCTGATGCTATTGTTGGGTCGTTGCATAACTTTCTTTTTTCTTTTTTTTTTACGTTCGTACTAGGATTTTCTCCTGTATCGTGAAGGCAGTTTACATATATAAATTTCACAAGGACAAACATCCAGACCCGAAACAATTATTTGTAGGTCTTACAAATATTTGTTCCGTCCGGGATTCAAACCCTCGGCTCTTAGCGCTGCCACTCACTGCTAAACCACTGCGCCACGGAGCCGGTGGTGTAATATTATAACTTCCTACATGAATCAATTCGACTGAGAAGCTTCTTATTGAGCAATCTTGTCTTTGTGATAGCTGTAATAATTCCAAAGAACTTAAATATTACGATGAACAACTCCAGCAACGGAGCATAGTTTACGAATATCTGGTCTTAAGGCTTAACAAGTAGTAATGAATCTTTTAAGCGAATATGCCAAGCGTTTCGTAAATATATTAGCCGACGGATAGTGCACAATTGGCTTAATGAATTTAAACAGGGAATTATAAGCTCTAAAACGAAACTAGTTCCGACCGTTCGTTGGTATTTGAGAATGATATGAGAATTCATACCCGAATACCCTAGATTTAAAAAGACGACCTAGATGGAAGTTTATGGCCAAATTGGCTATGTATTGATGGGTCAAATTAAAAGTACCCTTAACCGATGGACATGTATGCGGTAAAAGGACGTGAAGGAGGCGAGAGAGGCAAATGGTCCGTAGTCTCAAGGTTTGTTAGGGATTTATTACATTATTGTAGCTAAACAATTTCATAGATACGTTAGAAAAAGATGTACCTTTACGTTTACAATTTTGGAATAGCGATAACAGTTACGCGTAGACTTCTGTAGGAAATTGCTCTTACCATCAAACTAACAGCTAGTTGGGCAATACACAAACATACATGCAAAGGACAGTAAGAGGATAAAAGCAAAACCACAAAACCCACCCCGAAATCAAGTCACACTCAAGTAGTAATAATGTTTTATATTTACAATGCATGACACTGTGCAACTGTACACTAAAAATATTAAGGAAAACGTACACGAAGTTCAAGTTAGAAATATTACTACACATTCTTACTACAGATACTCTACTTCTTATTCAGTTATCAGAGAATTACTTGAATAAGCTATTCTTTCAGACAAAAATTGAGAATTTATATCATTAGGGAATTCAGGCATTGTCTCCACTGGAGAATATAATATTATTATTAGATATGAGGTGATATTTTTAAATGTTGTAATGGTAGTATGCACGTTAAGTATTAAATAAACATGTCAGGTGTTCAATATGCAGCAAGCGAGCTCAATAAATAATCGCGTGATAACATTTCAATTTCTATGCTGTAATCGTCCGTATGTAGATGATTCATCGAAGTAAACGCGCAGATGCTATGTAATGGCGTAAGTCGGTCTGTCTGTATATCAGATATATGCATTAAATGTCCAATGCTACTCACTAGACATCTTGTCGGAGCGTAAAACGAAATGTAAAGATGCACATACGAAAGTGAGAAATAAGATTCTATCCGGTAAAATATTTCCAATATGTATTGCGTTTTCCTACCATCTTATAAAATATCTTAGAAACAACTCATTTTCATTTTTATGTCTTAAATTCTTATTTTTAAATAAAATTAACTTTATAAATCATTAAAAATTTTACGTTAAAATCTCGGTGCTCTAAGATTTAGTTTTACGATAAAACTTGTAGTCTCAAGTTTCATCATCAACGCTTCCTCATTATTTTCATCAGGCCGTAAATTGTTTCATGCTAATCATAGGCTTCTACCATTGTGTAGGTGATTTATCGTAATTGCTAAGGTTGGCAGAAACAATGGTTATTGCCGTATAAACGTCCTTCCTTGCCATCCAAGGGGTGGCGGCGCGGCGTAAGAGAATACACTATTCCATATCAATTCGTGGGTATCGCATGAGGTGATAAAGGGAATCTAATACAGAAAATAACAAATAACTGTGGTTCCAAACTACGTGCCAGGTGTGGCAAATATGCACAGTATGAGACAGGTTTACGTTCAGCATTGCATAGGTTATTATGATGAAAGCTAAGATCTTTAATTTCGAGTATGTAATTGGATGGATTGTTGATTGCGGATTTTAGTGCTGATTTATAATGTATTGGTGGTAAGGGAAATATGTTAAGTCTGCCAATATATACTAGAGCAGCGAGGCGGGCAAACTTCTTCATAACTCGTTTATAAATCAGAGGAGGATCATGCAGCAGTCGAACTTACATACGTTGTTACTTTTTTGCGAGACTTGATATACTTTAATATACGAAATAATTATACCGACATTTAATAGATAGGCCAAAGGATCTTCCGAGTCGACTTTTATTGGGACTATTGGCGTAAGTGGGTATATATTTTGCTATCCTACGGCGAGATCACGGGCTTATTTTTAACTCTAGAAAATTGTTTTTATAAAATAGGCAGTGGTGAGGGGAAGCCTGTGCCCAGCCCGGACGTACATAGGCTGTAACTGTAACTTTAACTTTAAATATGAATATGTACTCGTAATATTTATCTTTGTATAATTATGTTACGTGCAACTGAACGCGTTGTTCGATTGAGGTCAAGTTCACACAATAAGTATATTTATTTTGTAGGGGCTCCGATAAGTGAGGGTATTCAAGTTATAAAAAAGTCTATATTTATGAAACAAAATGACTCATTTTCACAATTATGTTTATTTGATGTCAAAAAAGAAAGTCAAAATCTAAACGCAATAGTTGGCGCCGTGGTCGAGTTATATAAATTTTATACTTACAATGTAAAACGTCCTGAGTGAAATCGTGTGAAACTCGCTCGGAAAGGTAATGAAAACTAAAATATATTTTCACTATTCTTCACATAGATCTGTTAGTCGGTAGAGTTATAGAGACAATGACAGCATCATTTCACTATGTCGCTTTATTTAATCCCTAGGTGTGAAATAAAGCCAGCCATCCAGCCGGCTAACTTTTGTCACTGTCACCATTAATTAGTCAGAAAATTTATCTTGTATTATTTTCTTTATAGTAAATAAAATTATCTTGTTTACCGTATAGTGGCGGTGTAAGAATATCCACTACCCAATAGTTTGCCTCATCGTGGGTATCGTAAATGGAGACAGACGGAAACAAATCAGGATAGCGTCTTCCTAATAACGACTAAAATAAAAAACAGCGGTTGCCACCCCACTTGCCAAGCGTGGCAGCTATGGCATTCTCCAAAATTTCAATAAGTAAAAACTCCAACTTATCTGGTCGAAATATCGTATTTTTTTTAGATAATCAATGATATTTATACCGTAAAATATCAGCAAGGTGTATGTGTTTCGTATGGTGGGTGAAGAGAACAAGAGATCTTTTTTACAAGTAACGAGACATTGCGTTTTACTTCCTAGTTTTAACGAAAGTTCGCTCATCAAAGTTGTTATAATCATTAAAAAAATGTGGTTTTTGATTGCAAGTTTCCTGATATACCTAATCTATTAAATTGCAACGAATGGGAAATCTGTACTTAAAATTCAATTGACAATTTCAATATGGCCGCATTAAAGAACCTCAAAATTTGAGTACCTATAAAAATAGCTTGGTTTTATTTCCTGTTACGTCTGAATAATAACTTGTTGTCACTCAATAAAATAAATATTAACGGCCATCAAACATAAAAAAATTACTTTATAAAGTAAGATAGGTGAGGGTAATATGGTCACCTTAAGGTTTGTCGCCCCATAAAACCAAACCTAGAAGGAGGACTAAGACAAATACACAATGTATAACATTATAAGACAAATACATAATAGTATAACAAATATATTAAGAAAAAAATAGCAAACAAGCCTTTTCAATAATAAGGAACACTTCGAGAAATCAACTAACTACTACACTACCCAATACTAAAATCGACTAAAATATTTACTATCATTTCAACTGTCAATATGGCGTAGATAATGCGGCGCTCTTTTAACCATTTATTATTTGAATGACTGATAAAGGAAAAGCTATCGTATCATAAAGTCATCTATGTAAATAAGGTTGTAGTTTTTGAGTTATAAGAAAGTGACCATATTAACCGGATGACCATATTACCTTTACGTACTGTACTAAGACCTGTCGCTAAAACTACGAGTATAACAGTGCACTATCCTCCTAAATGATCCTTAATTCATTTAATGAACTAAGGATAAATACTTAAACAACAAGTGATAGGTAGTATAGCAGCGCCCGTAGTTTTTAAAAACACGGATATTCTGATGATAGCGATAATGATTTCATTTATTCATTCATTACATCCTTTTTGGTTCGGCTAGTTTAATAAACAGATTCTTGATTCGCGTCGTGAGCGAACGCACATTTTTTCGCTGCTTCCAAATATATATTCTGCCTCAAGTTCTTCCTCGAATTGGATAATTGTGAGTGATCGAAATCCGTGTCGCTGGTGTCCCGAAGAAATACACGAGAGCTGGAGCATCCGCCTTCGTATATATTCAAATAAGTCCGACCTTAGTAATATTGTCTAGTCAACGGTATCGAGTAGAATCAGCCAGGGTCTATGTAAACTACAGTCCATTTCTCATTTTCCAACACTTTTAAAAGTCCGTCGCTGAACTTGGGTTGACTTTGCCATAGTTGACACGCTTGGAAAACGGGTTGACAAGCGCAGTTTTTATTAATTTATAAGATGGTGCTGCCTTGAATTTTGTGGTAAGCTTACCCAAAAATTAAAGTAAATACTATTGCATTTAAATTAATACTACTAGTTTTAAATTACTGACTACCCAAAATATTAAATTATTTTAAGATTTATGGTATTTGTAAACTAAATTCCATATTATGGAAATTCTACCTCCTTATATTATCAAATAAATAAAAATTATTTTTTGATCAGTCAGTTTCTATAAAACTTCGTACTATGTTTGGAATATAAAAGGGGTAACCATAATAGATTTAA